TCCAGTCTGGGCGACAGAGTGAGACTCCAACTCAAAAAAAAAAAAAAAAAAAGAAAAACACCATTACTTTTCACTCCCGTTTATTTTCCATGCTTCACCCGGGCTCTATGAAGAGTCAACTTTGCTCAAGGCAACCCATTTTCTTTCTACTAGCACACACCCCTACTTCAAGTAGGAAGTGGGTAGCAACTGTAGATGGGTCATGAATTCCAAATAATTATGCTATTTTAAAAGTTCCGATTTGTGCTCCTTTTTTTCCCTTAAATCAGAGCTTTTGAGAAAACTTTCTTGGACCTTTCCAAAGACTGTATGCCTGTGGTGACATGTCACAATAAAAAAGAAAGTCTTCAGGGCTACAGGTTCTCAGCAATGCAGGCTCCTGACTTTGTGTAAGACCCCACATGTAATCACTCACGAGCAGTTCTGGAAATCTGGTTTTGTCCCTCCATCTCTTGGTCTTTTAAAAAATGCTCAAAGCAACTCAACTCAACTCAACTCATTAACTAGTTTACCTTTTTTTGCTGGGTTTATTTTCTTTGCATGTCTCAAACAGCTATTCCATGATATCAGGTTTCAGCTCAAACCTGAAGGAGGCCCTGTCCCATTTGAGTGTTTTAAATCCCTCCATGGAAACATTTCTAGAAAGACTGGGCCCTACAGCCAGGGACGCTGGGCCAAGCATGTTTGACTCCCAGCAACTTGGACAGTGATATAAAAGGTTCGTTGAATAAATGTACAAGTGATCTAAGAGACTGGAAATGGGTGGATTGAAGGAGCCCCTGGAAATTAAGTGAGTTAGTCATACTTCCAGTTTTTAACATGACTCTGCCTGGTTGCACCTGCCCTTCAAGCCCAGCAGGCCACGTGGGACAGCCCTGACTTCTCGGGCTGTGTTAACCATGCCTTTTATTTTTCTGATGCTTTGATATTTTAGGACCTTGCTGACCCTGGAGGGACTGGCTCTCCTGGGATTAGCTAATTCCTGGAGATAGCAAACCTCTCCCCAGAGAGTCTGTCTTTCATAAGCAAACCAAGAAATCCAGAATCCACGCCCAGCCACTATCCACCTCTCAATCAGCACAGGGCCAAGTACCAGACTACAGGACAGCCCCTATGCCTCAGACGCCATCAAAATTATTCACAGCAGCCAATCCTAAGCCTTCTTGCCCTGCCTCCCCAGTTCCTTCCTGTGGAAACCACAGTAAAGTCTTGTGCTCACATTGCCCCTTGTTCCCTTGATCCACCCTGGTGCTTCCTTCTGTGCCCGCCCCACCCATTGGCATGGTATGGCCCTCCTCCTGGGACTGAAGAGGTTAACAAACTATGCTTTCAAGGACAATTATGTTTTTAAAGACAATTATCTCCTGATCTGTTGGCCTTACCATAGACATATATATGTATGTGTGTGTGTGTGTGTGTGTGTGTGTGTGTATTTCTTTTCTTTCTTCTTTTTTTTTTAGAGAAGTAAGAGTCTCGCTCTGTTGCTCAGGCTAGAGCGCAGTGGTGCGATCAGAGCTCACTGCAGCCTTGAACTCCTGGGCTCAAGCAATTCTCCCACCTTAAGCCTCCTGAGACTACAGCTGGGACTACAGGCGCACGCCACAGTACCTGGCTAGTAAGACCTATATTTTAGAACATGGATGTTGGAAAAGGACGTAATGGCTCCAGCATCTAATGTCCTCGCCCCGACTGGCACCCGCTGTCTTTTCCTGGTAAGAAAAAGCCCAGAAGGACCTCTGGAAGGAGCCTGGAGTTCTGCAGGCTTTCTCAATCAAGGTCCCTCATCCCAACCACAGAACACAAAAAATAACCGAGTGGTGATTTTCTGGATTATTCCAAGAACAGTCCACACCTAGCCCCACTCTGTATGCACAGAGGTTCCTTCGTCACAAACATCAGCGGCCAGGTGGAAGGAGGCCTGAATTTTCTCAGCGATCACAGCTGGGAAAGGCTGCGTCTGGGGTCTGGGTATAAACAAGAGCCCTTACGTTCTGGCTCACAGCAGCAACTCGTCTTGCCAGGAGATGACGCCAGCGTCGCCGTGGGGGCCCCTCTCCCCGTGTTCCCGGGCCAGCGTTACCTGTGCGCGGTGCTCCCCGACGGCGAACTGTATGACGGCAACACCCGGGCTGTGGCTGTCTTCGATGCGCTCCACCGTGCTGGAGTCGATCTTCAGGTCGTTGCTGATCTCCGCGCTCTGGATGAAGTCCTCCGTCTTCAGGTCCTCCACCTTCTTCAGCTCCCCGTTGGCCAGCTGGATGATGGAGCCTTTCATGAAGTAGGGAGGCAGCGTCGGGGGAGCCGCCGCCGGGGACGCCACGGACTGCACGACGGGCAGGTGGAGCTGGGCCTGCACCACGGCCGGGTAGGCGGCCTGGGTGCCCAGGGCCTCGGGGCCGAAGCTCTCGCTCTTGGGCAGGGCGGAGGTGACGAGCGTGTGAGGCACTGCAGCGAACTGGGGGGACGACGTGACGATGGCCGCGGC